ATAGCACTTTCCTCTGGCGAGAGTAAATATGTGGCCATGGTTGGAGGATGCAGCGAAGGATTGTTCCTGAAGCATTGCTGGTCCTTTTTGACTGGAGAGGAGATCAACATGGTCTGCAGAAGCGATTCCTCAGCTGCTCGAGCGTTAGCTGGTCGGATTGGAGTCGGACGAACTCGTCACATTGCAGCCGGCTTGTTATGGTTGCAGGAGAAGACGAACGCCAAGGAGTTGAGAGTCACAGGAGTGCCCACGGCCATCAACGTGAGTGACATTGGCACCAAGATCTTGAGCAAAGCGCGCATGAAGGGCTTGAAATTCCTCATCAAGATGGTAGATGGGGACAATGAGAAGATTGGCAAAGAGGAGTTCGAAGAGATCTACGCCAAAGAAGAACTGAAGAAGAACACGGGCAAGCTAGCGAAAGCAGTCGGTGGAAATGCACGGATCGCATTGGTCCTGGCTTTGACAATGCTGCAAAGTGGCAAGGCTTCAGAAATGCATGAGAGAAAGGAGAATGAGGACAACGAGGAGACGTGGTGGATTCGGCCATTGCTCACACTGATATGTCTAGCAGTGGTTGGAGCCTTGAGCTTGACAAGATGGCTATGGGAGAAAGGAAGACAGTGGTTCAATGGAAGACGAGTCCACGATGATGGAAATGTGGCAAGACAAGAACCAGAAGAAGAAGAGCAGCCGCAAGAGCCAGATGAAGAGATGGACAATGAGAAGGTGAACATGCAGTGGCAAATTGTACGTTTGGAAGTGGCCATTGCAGAAAAGGATGACTACCTGAAAGAGATGACTGAAGAGAAAGACAGGATGATGAATGAATACCTGAGGTTCGCAGACATGAACGTCAACCTCAGGGGTCAGCTTGATGATCTTCGAGAGGAGAACTTGGGACTGACCAATCGACTCCTACGAGGAGGTGGAAGTCGTGATGAAAAAGAAGAAGAGATTCGAAGGCTTGGTGAAGAAGTCAAGCAAATGAAAGAAGCCAATGATCTGCTGAAGGCACGTATTGGTGAGATGAAGCAGGAAGCCAACACGATGACGAGACAAAGTCTCAATGGAGTGAAGTTTGTGATGGACCGAAAGAGATGGTACATCACGCAGTCAGGTGAATGCTATCATGAGCAAGACTGTCATTTCACGGCTAACAGAGCTGTGAGACAGGTCAAGCCATGCAGTCACTGTGTGTCTGAAACCATGCGGGCCGTGACAGAATCTAGCGTGAATCAAATGACATAACTAGGTCAGATGGTATCAGACACGCATGACATGCACTCGAACTGTTCAGGCTCAATCAAGGTGTGAAAATAGGAGTGCACCGCTTTTCATGTTGTGTTTTTGGTTTTATGTTTTGGTGCGTTTGTTGCCGTGTTGTGTTTTTGCTTTTGATATTCAGGACATCTTAATCTCTGCAACCGCTGACCTTCTCATTCTTGCGATAACGGCAGCCCCACGGTTGCAAAAAAAAGAACGAGCTGATCTTGTTCTGTGCTTTCATGAGGGCCTCGTCCACAGCCGTACACGGTCTTTCATGAGCCAGCTACGCCGGAACAGTGGCAAGAATGGGCACGTCAGACTGGATTTAAGGCCGCCTGTTTCACATTTGCTGTGGGCTGGAACTGGCGGCGCCAAACGAACACAGCAAAAACACGCAAAACAGAGCGTACTGACTGGTCCTTCAACATGGAAGTGGCCGAGGAGAACACAGAGACAGAGGAGCATGGAGTTGACACTGTGCAAACAGATCGAGGAGCTGCTCCTCCTCCCAATCCTCTGGTCCGCCACCGCCGAGACGACGTAAAGCTGGCCAAGGTGATCCAGCTCCTGCTCCGCAGCTGCTCGCTCGGCGATGGCCTTAGTCACCGCTGCCTTCCAGAGGACCTGATGAGGCTGGCTGTCAAAGGGCGATGGCCTCAGTCATCCAAGACTAGGGGCCCTGTACAGAGGCGTAGCTGTTTTACCAACCTGGGCGTGTGGAGGTGCACGGCAGTGGCAAAGGTAACCAACCGTGAGTTGCCAGTTGAACTATGCTCTTCCCTGTCTCAAGGTTTTTTTTACGCCCACAGGGCAATGAATTGGTGCAATAAGATGCAACGGCAGATGCACTTTTCGGTTGCTTCGCTTTCTGACGTCCTGCACTGCCGCAAGTCCATCTGCATCGCATTGTCGTGCAGGCCTGCCTCATCCCTCCTGTAAGGGGGGGACCTCTCCGCAGGGTAGGAAGATCATCATTTTCTTACACGTCTTCCAAGTCATCCAACTTGATTCCAATTGTTTGCTCCTTCACAGCAACTGGAGTGTGTGCAATGTAGGTTTTTCTGCAGGTATCCTACGCTGCTCGGTGCAAACATTCCTGTGCTTGCATTGCCTGACACCCACCAGACTGACGCACGAAAGCACCACCAATGGTGCGTCGGAATGTGTGTTGCAAACTGACTTCCTTAGCAGTTCATCCATGCCCAGGTTATTACGTTTCACACTGAATTCATCGCAAGGCAAGGTGCGCTAAAATCCCACCCTGAGCCTCAGAAAATTTCCTGGTCCTTTCTGTTGGTGGGTTTTCTTGTGGTGTTGCTTGTTTTGTTTGTTTTGTTTTGTTCTGGTTGGTTTTGTGTTGGTGCTTTGATTCTCAAGAAATCTTAATCTCTACAGTAGCTGACCTTCGCATTCTCGCGATAACGGCAGCCACACGCGTGCAAAAAAAGTGGCGCTGAGGGCGGTCTGGTTTTAAACGGTGTCGCCGGCACTGGAGGCGTTTTTTCAACTCCAATTGTAGCGCTTTCTTGTGGTCATGGTGTGTTGGCGGCAACGAGCAGAAGGACATCTTTGAAGACTGTCCACGTGGAACAGTTTTTCCTGCTTTGTCGCATTGGTTTTGTGTTGGTTTGTTCCCCATTTTGGGAAATTGGTCTAACTCCGCAACGGCCCTGGACCTGGAAACGCTTTGACATTTGAAACCTTGCATGTCGTGACTCGCAATATGACTTACTTGACTCAAGTGATACTTTGGGAGATGTCGCTAGGGATTTAATTGGTTGGTTCAGCTCATTTGCATTGCAATCAGATTTGGGAAGTGAACTTGGGAAATGTTCAATGACAACCAGATCTGCAAAGTCTTGGTCTTGAAACTGCTCACAGGCCATAGCTGGGTGCTGGGTTTGTCTCAGCAGTGTGGCAGGAAAAATTGTTGGAACTCTTGTTGTTTCCTAATTTGGAACCAGATGCATTTTTACTTGTGTTGAGTCGTCAGCTGGCGTTCAAGATGGGCATAGAAAGCTAATGTGCAGACTGAAAGACAAAAACGACACAGAGCGGAAAACCACAAGACACTGAACAAATCATCAAACTCCTGCTTTGAGAACAATTAAGATTGTTTGTGACCAATCTTGGAACCCTTTCTGCCAAAGATAGTCCTGTTGCACAGCGCGTGGCCCATGTGCGTGTGCACTAGGTCATGGGGTGACTGGACAGGGCTCAAGCGTTTAGCTCCCCTATGTTACAAACGAGGCGTTCAGCCCAGCAGACAGATGTAGCGATGTAGAGTTCTTAGAATGAGTATATAAAGCCTTACCATTGTGAAACAATCTTGAACAACCAGATTCGCTTTAGAAAACATGACTGCCACAATGCGTTTGGAACCTCGCCGCATTCAAGGGACCTGATTTTGTTTTTGCATGCTGTGTTGTGAGGAGTTTCTGTAAACCGTGACGTTGCACCATTCGACGATTCGAGGATTCCACCAGCCCAAAGCGTGGAAGTGCTTTGAGTCCGAAAAGCCCGGGATCTCCATCGAGTCCCATGAGTCCGACGAGCCCCTTCGGCCAGAAATCCACCACCAGGCCGAGAATTCGAGTGAGAGAGAGAGGGGGTTTGCAGGGCTAGCAGGGCTAGGGAATCAAACATGAATACATGTTGTTTTCATCTGGTAGTTTTCACAGCAGAGACTGCGAATCAAGGAGTACTCTGTGAGTCTTTGCTTCGGCAGGGCTTGGAGTGCTCCGAGTTTACGAGTGCCAAGCTCAAGAAACTAATTCTGACAATGGAAGGTTTGTGAAAGTGGAAGTGGAAGTGTTCTGGTGGCAACGGTTGTCTCAATGTGACCCAAAACGGTGCAAGGATTGGGCTCAAGACTGGGATGGCGATGTAGTCCTTGCTCCTTGGCAGAATGATAGTGTGAATGCAGTAGTCAAAAGCAGCGGTCAAAAGCAGCGGGCAGCTTCTCAGTTGCAAGCCTCGCTTCATGACCCCTTCTCTCAATCGCGTAGCTGGCCTACTGCAAGTCCAAACAACTCATGTTGTTTGCGACCATATTCTTTGTAAAAGCACGTGCTCGTCGACACACTTCATCCAGAACCACAGGAACTGCACAATGTGGGAGAGAAAACACATGACACCTTTACCGAAGTCGCGGCTGAAACCTAAGGCTGCTGCGCCCCGCTTTAGTTTCGGTGAAAGTGGCCGAGCTGAACTTTACACCGATGGGTCAGGTCCCAAGCACAGAACCCACAGGTTCTCAGAACATAGTCATTTTGCGCGTTAAGAGCCACACTGTGAATCTAGAGCAATAATACATATATATATATAGTTATATAGTATTCTGAAAGTCTGAAATCAGTTCAAAAGCTAGATGTTCTTCAAAGAAGACGAGACTCCAGAGCGTTGCAGTAAAAGAACATGATATTTTGCATTGCACATTCTGCCAGTCTTTCTGAGGGTGGTGAAGCGAAAGCCGGAGCCCAAACTAATGGCAGACAGTGCCTTTGAGATTCCAGTCTAGCAATAGAAGCTTTGTTCATGTTGCTTACTGCAGAAGTGTTTGCAGGTATGACACTATGACTATGACTAATTTGTTAGTTCTGTAGTGTGAGCTGTGCAGACCAGCTGCTGATTGAGACCCCATTGTGTGGCTAGAGGACTCGGATTACATACCTGGACATCGCCAGTAGACAGAAGGCCAGTTGAGTCATTGTTGCTCACCAATGAGACAGCTGCAATGACCCAAGCCATTGGGAATATTTTTGCTTGTTGAGGGGTGACGTTCAAAGCTTCGAAAGTCTTCAAGCATTTATAGTTTCAGGTTCAAGCATTTTGAAGCAAAGACAGTAGATATGACGGGGCGCTTCCGAGGGCTCATGGCTTTGCCCTTGGTGGTTGGAATGCCTGCACTGGCTCACGTTGCATGGGGGCTTCCAAGCAATTTGAGGATATCCCTGGCTGTGAATGTTGGTCTTTCGGTCCTTGGATTTATTGCCACGTCATCCATTGTGGCAACGCTTGGCCCAACCTTTATCAAGGCTAATCTGCGAGGGATTGATCTTAACAAGGAGACTACGAAACGTGACTCGGAGGGAAACCTTGTTCGCCCCATCGAAGGAATTGCAATTCCAGAGTCACAAGGCACCATCACAGCAGCTGTGTACATTCTGGTGCTTTCAGTCTTCATCCCGTTTGCATTTGCCTCCTATGAACTGGACCGGTTTCCTCATGCTGAAATGGCAGAATACTTGGCTGCAGTACTGACCATCACCTTTGCATCCTTCATGGGCTTTGCAGACGATGTCATTGATTTGAGATGGCGCTACAAGATCCCAATTCCATTCTTGGCCACGCTTCCGCTTCTGTCAGTCTATTATGCCAATGGAAATCACACTGGGGTCATGGTGCCAAACCAGTTCCGCTGGCTTTTTGGTGATTTTGTTGAATTGGGCCTGGGCTTCTATTTGTTTCTACTTTGGCTGGCAGTCTTCTCGACCCACGCCATTAACATTTACGCGGGTGTAAATGGGCTGGAAGTCGGTCAGTCCGTAGTCATTGCTGCTTCTGTTCTTGTTCTCAACATTCTGCAACTTCTTCGAATCCCTGAAGAATTCAAGGAATATCGGGAAAATCATATGCAGTCAATCTTTCTCATTGTTCCTTTCTTGGCTGTCAGCCTGTCTTTGCTTCAGCTGAACTGGTTCCCTGCACAAGTCTTTGTTGGGGATACCTACTGCTATTTTGCGGGCATGACTTTTGCAGTCGTCAGCATCGTCGGCCATTTCAGCAAGACCATGGTGCTGTTGCTGATCCCTCAGTTACTGAACTTCTTGTACTCTTGCCCGCAATTGTTTCCCTTTATTGGAATTCCATGTCCGCGGCATCGTATGCCAACCTTTAACGTTGCTGATGGAACTGTTTGCAATAGCTTTGCAGAGTTCACCCCAGAAGAACTCAAGCCGCTGGGAAAGCTGGCTTACATGATTTTGAAAAACCTGAGGCTGGTCCATGTGCGGAGCTTGAAGGAAGGACAGGTTCAGATGAGCAATCTGACACTCATCAACTTCGTTCTGTATGTCTTTGGACCGTGCAGAGAGGATGTGCTTTGTTGTCGCTTGCTTGCCATACAAGTGGCCAGCACTTTGATGTGCTTTGCATTGCGATTCGGCCTTGCCTCCTACTTGTTTGATGTAGTTCTTTAATGGAACTGATCAGATTTGAAAAGACCAGGGTCTGTTCACCATGACAGATCCGGAGAAGCGCAGCCACCAAAGAAAGATGCAAGTTCCGATGCAACACATGTAGTGCAAGCAGTGTGTTGAAAGGGAGAGGACTGTGCACGGAAAAGTTTCAGAGCTTGATCGGAGGCCTACGTGCCTGGACCTGGCGCTTACAGGCACAGACCGAGAGCATCAGAGTTTGGAACATATATGTATATATGTATACTTGACTGTACTATGATATATATCACGAAAGCCAGCCGATAGGCTAGGCTTGAGGTAGGGGAGCGAACGAAGTGAGTTAAAGGGGGTGTGGGGTGTGTGGTTGCGAGAGGGCCAATCTCGGAGAGGCTAACCCAGAGCCTGGTGGGGGAGAGCGAAAAAGAGCCCGGAGGTAGTGAAAAATGAGTTGTTTTTGGGGTGTGGTGATGCAAGTGATGTAATTGACGGCGAACAGTGCATCATGAGCATCATGAGGGGCTCAGGAGGCCATGTAAGCTGTTTTTACTAGGGGTAGGACTTCACGTGGATGAGAGGAAAGGGAAGCCAAGGGGACGTGAAAAGTGGTTAGAACTGGCCCTATACTTGAGAGCAGGAAAGAGAACAGATTGCAGCTGCGGGCAAGGGGCCGCCCTTTTTAGTTGCCATACTGAAGAGGGCACTCCCTGCCAAACCTCACCACTTCCAGCTACTCCTTGTCCACTCTCCCTGTATATACACAAGTATCCTCACGGAAGCCTGCCGCTAGCCTCGCCCACGGGCTCCCCCCTCTTTGCCCACTGACTGCCAACACGCAGCAGGCAACCGCCCCTCACTTCCTTAGGGGTGCCCTTTTTCACCTCCGAAGCGGCCCGCGACCAACACGAAACAGGGCACCCCCCCCCGAAACTTGTACTCTACCTTCTCTTTCTACTCCTATGCAAGTGTCTGCAATATCGACTTCGCTACAGAAAGGTACGCTTTGCCGGAATGTTCACCAATCACTTCATCTTGCACGCCCAAGGGGCTGCAATATCAACTTCACCACTTCCGGCAGTTCTTTCTCCACTCTACCTATATACATATATGTCTCCTTCCGAAAGTCTCCCGATAACCTCGCCCCTCGACCCCGCATATCCATCTTTGCTCAGTGGTTGGCACCACACAGCAGGCTACCACCCCTCACTTCCTTCGAGGGTGCCCTTTTTCACCTCCAATACGACCCCCAACCATGACGAAAAAGGGCAGCCCCCCAAACCTGTGTACTATACTTCCTGTTTCTACCTCCTATGAGAGTACCCGCGATGTCAACTTCACCACTTCCAGCTACTCTTTCTCCACTCTACCCTCCAACACGCCCCTGACCTAAGACGAAAAAAGGCGGCCATGCCTGGAAACGCCAAGCTAACCCTGAGGGCACCCGCCTTGGCGCAAAGGCTGGCTTTCGTCCCCTCCCTTCTCAGGTGTATATATATATATATTTATACAACAAATGTTTGAATGTTTGATTTGGGATGTTTTTCGTGTTCTTACGACTCTTGCCGATGAATAGCTGCAGCCACCGGCAAAAAATGCTTGATCAGTAGCTGCAGAGGAGTTGGCCGAAAATAAGGAATGCAGGATTAACAAGCTTGTTGAGTTTGAGTGTGCAAGGGGATTTTCTGGGCCTGGCTTGTCTTCATGTTTTCTGTCATTGCGTGGCCGGTGCCAGATAGTTCTGTAGTTTCCTTCCAAGGCTGAACAAACTATGACTAAATCAGAGAGTAAGAGAGAGAGAGAGATATGCAAAAAAGGGACGCCCTTATATGCAGAGCACAGCACTTTTTCGTGTATGAAACAGATGAACAAGAACGACCTGGCTTTAAACCCGCTTTGCTTCACGTTCGGCCAGGAGTTTGCGCCTCGGGGATGCTGAGCCGCCAAAGGCTCGTCCAGCTCTTCACGTTGTGTAGCTCTTCACGCACGACTTGTGGAGTTTCGGCAGGATGCAGGGCACGTAGACAAGACTTTCTCATTGGGAAGGCTTCGAGACAGGAGCGTACTAACACTGCACAAGTGCCAGCAACCGCAAGACTCACAAGTGACAAGTCACAGTCAAAATCTTGGAAACGTTTGGGAAAGTGATCTCGATGAGCATGATTTATGTTTTTTTGTTCCTTTTTTGTGTTTCATTGCAGACTACTTTCTGGCTAGTTCCCTTTGTTGCTTGAGAGCAATTCAGAGGGTTGTATCTTGCAGCTCTTGACAAGGTGTTTAAGTCGTCTGAAAAGGTCAGCTTCCCTGTGTACAATCCTTTGTTGCCAGGAAGATTCCGACTGGACTTGTTGGCCATAGCGAGCGGCAAGCAAGTCACACGACCTTAAAGAAGGCAGTCTCTCCTGCAACCTTGCGCAAAGTGACTTTGGACAGCATCTCGAATCTGTTTGTAAAGACATCGGTTTTGTGCAGGTCGATGAAAAGAATCGGATTCTTTTGCCATCGTCTTTCCAGACTCCTGGCCCGGGCGCGTGGGAGGCCCAGGAATGTGACGGTGAGCCGAGACGCAAAGGGATTCAGGGACAGGGTCCGATGTTGACTTGAACAATATATACTGTAGATTCTTTTTTTGTAGTGATTTTGGATCTTCTTTAGTTCTTTTGAGGTACACTGCCTACACCAGCTTCGGTTCACCATCCGGTGGTACAAGGAAGCGGTTCCTGGTCCGCGCCCGAGCGGCTGCACAGCGTAGGAGGATACAAGAAATCATTTGGCATTGTCTTAGGCATCCAACAAAGCAGACAATGTTGGCCGTGCGTCCTGGACTTACTGCTGAAAAGGTCAAACTCCCGAGCTTGGTATGACTATGGGGGGTTTCTGCATACCTCGTTTCAGCATTGACTGAGCGAAAGTCGTTGAATATCAGGCGATCCGCTGAGAAGTTTCATCGGCATTCCGAAAGGTGAAGCCTTTTCAGGCCAGATGACGGACCTGCCTGAATCAACCCACCGCAGGGCTTTCATTTTGTTGTTGTCGTTGTCGTTGTTGTCGTCGTCGTCGTCGTCGTCGTCGTCGTCGTCGTTGTTGTTGTTGTTGTTGTTGTTGTTGTTTTGCTTCTGCCACTTGCTGTGCAACCTTTAGTCAGGACAATCGCACTTAGACTCAGCTATTTCCATTGTTCAGGGACTTCTCCACTGCAAAAGCAAACTGTTTGGTCAATTCTGTGCTCCCAGGATTAGCTGTACCCTCTGGAGTGAGCCAATCCTCTGCAGGAATTGGTGGAAATGTGTCCTTGCTATGGTCCATTCAATAAAGGCTGGTATGCAGAGGTCTTTCTTCTTGTTCTTTTTCTGCAGAGCACTTCCTGGGGCAAAGATTTTTATTGTAAATATGGATTCCACTTTTATGTAGCGGCAAATCCGAAGACTGGGTTTCAACGATCTTGAGAAAGAAGATACGTATTGACGTATTGAATCTGAGGACTAAAGCCCGGTCTTTGTTTCTCAAGCCGTTTTATGTGGAAGCCCAAAGGGCTTCTGGGTGTGTGCGCACATGCGATTCAAAACAGGGAGCGGAACGTTTGCTCTCAGATAGAGCGAAGTTTGAACAGGCTGATAGCTGGTTCGAGCATTCATTTGTGCGGTGCAACTAAGAGTTCCCATTGCAGGCTGTTCCTTCGTTCCGCTTTGTGCGAGTTGTGACCGGTGACAATGTCCACAACAGCAACGGTCTTTGCTCAGCGGTGCCACACTGCCACTGCCACTGTCGAGTGGCATCCCTTCGGGAGTCTGCTTGGACACCCTGGCCCCCACCCGCCACCCTCTCAGCCTTGCTGCCACGGTGGCTGGCTTGACTAGGGAGTCTTGGAATCAAGTAGTAGGTGGCCAGCCTTTCACTTGGTCTGATTTATTGCTGCGTGAGCCTGATTGTTGCCAGTCGGGGACCTTGGGTCCGTGGCTGGGCTTGTCAACTTGTGAGGAAACAGGGAGGGTGCGTAGACCGAAGCTGTAGGCGTCACTTTGAGAGAATCTGGCCAGCCATCGCCTCATGCAAAGCCTTTCCTGGCAAACAATGGTCTTGTTGGGCAACTTTTTGTCATTTCATCTTGTTTTGGTATGATTCGATGGCTTTTGTGCTGCTTCATCGTGTATCCCTCAACTGACTTGGTTGGTCTTTTTTGTGGCCCACTCCGACGTACCAGACAGAATTCAGAACTGTGAGGAGGGTGTGTTTCATTGAGAACCACGAAGCGGAGTACTGAACCACGACATAAAGTACTTGTCAATTGGTGCACACTGTTGATCCTGCCGGTTGGACTTCGCCGGACAAACCTTTAAGAACACCGTGCCCGAAGACTTCGAACCCTGCAGCCATGCAGACCACGTGTGTAGTATGTGGCGTCGTTCCTGCACGTTTGTGCCAATGGCCCTATTTTGACCTGTTGCAGTTGTTCCCCCTTGGTTGGCGCATGCCCCCGTTCCTTGAAGACTGACCGATTTGCACTGGCTGTTGGCATTGTGAATGAAAGGCTGCCAGAGCTGCCAGAGCCTTGTGTGCGACCTTGTCATTGATAGTCGGCTCTTCATCCACTGTTTCCTCAGGTCCGTTTCCTCTTCCTTTTCGATGGAAGGCCCTGTCTCCTTGCCCTTGTCCTCGGATCGTTTGTGCCCATCATGCCAACGTTCCTGGCATGGACATATGCTCCTTGGCGATCGCTGACTCCGTATGAAGTCAAACGTCTCACGCACATCAACCTCCATTACAAGCTTGTTGACTCGTGGCCCTTCCCAGTTTTTGCGGGTGGGAGGTGAGCATAGGGCACTTGGCCCCAGCGTCTCTCAAATCGCAGTGAGGCGTGAACATGAACGAAGCCAAGGAAGGCTAACGGCAAAGACAGCAAGTTATGGCACGTATGGCAAAGGCGCAAGAAGGCATCGGCAGCATTGAACTGAAGATTGATGCGGGCGACACATGCACGCGCATATGGCACGAACAGAAAGAGTAGGACAACTGTCCGACAATGACCGCCGAGGCATGGCGGCACACCTACGTATGCAGCTACCCATGCAATTGTTTTGGAGTTTCAAGTGTAGTAACGCAAGCCCGCTCGTGTTTACAATTCCCAGCTACACACATT